TAAAGTTCTCCCATGTAAACTATCATATAATTCATAATAAAACATTAAAAAGAAGGGGGGGGGGGCTTGTGCAGCAGATTTATTGATAGTTGATCCAAGAAGAATGAAGTCCTTGACAACTTCAATCTTTTCTCCAGTGATAAGAATGTTGTTTATTATTGGTCAGGAAGGGATTGCTCTTTAGAAGTGATAATAGTGAGACTTAGTCTCCCATACTTTGGACATGTTGTCAGGAAGGACCAGTCCTTAGATAAGGACATCATGTTTGGTAAAGTGAAGGTGTCTTGAAAAAGAAGAAGACCCCAGGGAGCTGGATTGATAAAATCGCAGCAACAATAGGTGTAAACATAATAATTGTGAGGGACACAGGATCAGGTAGGGTTTCTTTCTGTTGTACATAGGGTCACCATGTATTGGGACAAACTTGGCAGCACCTGACAACAGCAGCATTAATAGAATGTCCTTAGACATGGAATATAAATTTTCTTACCAGAAATCTCTGGCTTTCAGACCTATTTTCTATTGAATGACCTTTGTTACATTCAAATTTTATGTGTGTTGGGCGAGGGGGGCCAGGAGAGGAGTTTGCATGTTTTTTTGTGAACTGAAATGTCTGATTTGCCTTTTTTGATTGTTTGGTTATATAGAAGCTTAAGGGTAGAGGAAACTAGAGCCGTTTGAATTTTAGAAATGTGTCACTTTTGATCACATCATTTTTGCATTCTACTGCATCAGCATCTAAATCACAACATGCTCACAAGAATGTATGTGTGTCTTCTATTTTTATGCCCTAGGTTATTGACAATGCATCTTCTCAGAGGGAGGTCAGCCTCAATTCTTTGTATAGCAGTTTGAATAAAGCCATTCTGTACTGCCTTTCCAAGCCCCAGCAGTCCTACTCTGAATGCTTCAGACTTCTCAGCATCCTGGACTTTCTGCAGAAGCACTGGGACATTGTTTTTGCCACCTATAATTCCAATGTCAACTTTCTCATGTGTCTCATGCATTGCCTTTTGCTGCTCAATGCAAGAAGGTAAGTGTTTCCTTGCTCACCAGTGGTAAACACTGAACAGCAAATTTTAGAGGGACACTTAATTGAAGTAGATATGAGTGACCTGATCATTTTGTTTATCTGATTATTCAAATTATGTGCAATATTTCATCATATGGTAAGTTGTCCTCAAACTATCCATGTACAAAATAGCTAGAATCATCGCTAAATAATAATTTGCCCTATTTCCACAATTCCAAGACGCCACTGGTTGTAAGCTGTTTAATTGATTGAATTTTTGAGTTAGAAATATTCTAATATTAAGTGCACATAGTCATTTTATGATGCAGCCAGATTTCAAAGATATTAATATTTGATAATATATAATTTTAGAATAGGAAATATATACTATTAAATTTCATGATGCAAGCTAAGAATAATTTTGCTTACATAAAGGATACATACATATGCATATAGGCACACACACATGCCTGTGCAACCTGTAAGAGCTAGAGCTTGACAGGACTGCCTTGGATTTCTGTTTCTCACAAGTCTGACAGGGAACAGTCTACCACTTTTCTATCATTCTCCATTAGTGGAAAATACTTGAGCTTTGGTTTTTGATAAGTTTCCACTTTATATACATTCTAGCTTTCACAGGTTTCACTGTATATGATATAAAATGAGTACACTTTCTTAAGGAACTATGATAAGAAATAATTAGGTTTATTTAAATCCTTGTCTTGAAGTAAGAAGTTTGAAACTATGCTTCTGTTTATGTGTAGGTCTCCTGTGTAGTATTATTTATATACCACACATCATATATCTGCCTCAGTCCCACACTGCCTGTTCTCTTCCTTTTTATTAATAGGATCGTGGTGAGGATAGAAAGGATTAGGACTGTCGGATATTATACTTTGCTCCCATCCTTTTTCTTATTCATACTTGTTTTTTTTTTTGTTAAGTGTCGTCGAGCTGATTCCGACCCACAGCGACCCTGTATAGGATTTTCAAGGTGCAGCTAGTGAGCTTGAACCGCTGACCTTGCAGTTCAAATGGCTTAGAAGCCTGGCACATTAACCTACAGTGCCAACCAGGACTATTAGCCCAGTACAAATGATAAGCCTGATCACTTGGAAACAAACAGACAAACCAGCATCTCAAAAATTCTGTAGTGTTTACTATTGAACATTGCAAAACACTAGAGTTGACTTGACTTGCTGAAAAGTCATGAAAATCCCTAGCCTAGAGGAGACAGTTGTCTTTGTTTTTCAAAGTAAAAGAGTCAATTGTTAGTGTGTGAATTAAATTTGGAGATATGATTTTTATTTTCTTCATCTCAAAAATTAGAAGCACAAATGCAGAACTACCAAAAGTGCCACCTCAGGATGTAAGACTTGGCAACCTGCTTCTGAAAGGTCACAGCTTTGAAAACCCTATGGAGGAATTCTGCTCTGCACACATAGGGCTGCCATGAGTTGGAATCAACTAGCAAGATAACAGCAACATAATTAAGCAGTGTGGCATGCCAATTAATTCATGTGCTCTCGATTATATCCTCTTTGGATTTCTATTCTTCTATTTTCTTCACCAGCTGCTCCTTGGAAACCCTATACAGGGTTGCTATGGGTCAGAACTGACTCAACAGCACTTAACAACAAGCAACAGTTTAGTAAAATGGCCCCAAAACACAAAGGGTAAATGTGAAACTACTTTATTCTAGATATTTCAAGAAGGACGTTCTCGAGTGCTGGTATTTTTAATTTCCATAGTTGTCATTTTTGGTCCAAACTATAAACATTGGAAGCTGGAGGATCTTCAGGGAAGGAGACAGGTGGACATTAACACAACTTGGATTCCATGAGTACATGTGTACAGGAACCTGATATGTAGTTTGCTGGACCCCAGTTAAGGACTCTTGGAATAATTAATATGTTGGCCCTTGTTAAATGATTACTAAGAATTCCAAGATGGTGAGAGCAGAGCATTAAACCAAGCAAAGGGACCATTCTGAACTGGGGCTCTGTATGCAAGCTCAGGCCACATGCCTTTGCTCTAGTCAAAGCAGTGTGAAATAAATGCCAAATGAAGGCATGATTCAATAATTTGGGGTATACACATGACCAATTTTGATGGTAGAGAAACAAAGAGCTATTTGGGGGAATCTTTTGGGAGAATGGATAGGATTTATTGAGATAGAAGTTAAGAGGTGTTTCTCCTGTTTTTTTCAAAAAAACATTGCATAACATCTAAAGTGGAAGTTGTCATAAGCTGTTAGTTTTAACTAGGTTATATATTGTTATGTACTGAGTTTGGGGATTCATATTAACAATAAACAACAATAGGATGATTTCAAAGAAAGAGTTTCTAATGAGCATTCTCTTTTCTACCAGCTATCCAGAAGGGTTTGGATTGGAGCCTAAGCCTAGAATGACTCCTTACCATCAAGTCTTTCTAAATGAAGAAGTGAGAGGAAAAAGAGAAGAAGATTCTTCAAGTTTGAGTGATGGTACATTTTATTTGCTTGCTCTTTTTATTTATTTGCTCTTTACTGTTGGGAGTTGAATGTGATAGTGATAAAAGAAGTCCTAAGAAATCTCAGAAGAATGTAGAAATGCAGGAACATAAGGTGGTAGAGAGTACAATTGGAATTATCTTTGCATATTAGAAATGGAATGGAATGGATGGATGAACAGACAGACTAATAAATGAAGAGAAAGATGTGTGGCCTTTGGTTAAACTAAGAGATTGGTATACTTAATGGAATCTCAGAGGCCATAACTGTAAATTGATTTCTTGAATTTTCCTTTTAACTACTAGATCCAGAAACTGGCAAGCCATCTAATCTAGCTCAAGTCATTACCTGGATGTCTTTTAGCTTTCTTCCCTAGAAAATGAGAATGGAGTAAACAAATAACACTACTTTTTTTTTGATACTTTTGGCTTGACAGAGTTTATTCTTAAATTTACAAATCTCAAGTCAAGTTAAAATTATTGGAATTTTGCACAAAGATAATTCCCAGATCTTGATCCAGAAGTTACAGTAGACCTTTCTAGACCACTTTGATTCTCAGACTGTGCCACTTACCTTGTGATGTCTGATAGGATGATGGGCACAAGGACCACTGGATTCTGACCAGAGTGGTGATCAAAGTCAGTGCTCAGAAGTCTTGTGACTTCAAAGTTTATTATGATACAGTGCTATTTATAGCAGGAACATGAATATACTCTGGGATTTGCCATTAGAGCCAAATCTGAGCAATGCCATCAACCTGTTGTGGTTATGTGCCGTGGAGCTGGTGCCAACTCATAGCCATCTTGTACAGGGTTTCTGAGGCTGTAAATCTTTACAGGAGCAGAAAGTCTCATCTTTCTCCTGCAGAACAGCTGTAGTTTTGAACTGCTGACCTTGTGGTTTGTAGCCTGACTCGTAACTACTACACTACCAGAGCTCCTTAACCTAGAGAAGGAAAAATAGACTCAAGAGCCTGGTACCAGAGGCAGAACTCAGTGACTCAAGATCAGAGAAAATGTATGCATGGCTCGGGGAGTGATAGGTGTAGGGCATAGCCGGCAGAACTGGATTGGTAAATATGACCCTATTTGGGCAAATCCAGACCACTGAATTAGGTGGTGATGTGAAGCATGGTCCCGAGCAAAAGACGAGGATTTTCTAAGGTCTTGTGGACCCAAGCATAACATTGGGCTTGTCCCTATTTCCCAGAGGGACCAACAAGAAAGAGAAAGTTAGGAGAAGCCAATTGGGGCTGTTTAGTTACCAACAGCTCATACAAATAATCTTTCTGTTTGGTATCCAACAAAATTGGATGTTGAGTAAAGTGGCTCCACACACCCATCTATCATGTTTCCCAGATCTGGAGATAAGAGGCAGGGGAGGACTTGGTGTCAGCAGTTAGAGACAGAGGAAAGACCAGTTCCCACTGAGGTTGATAGCATTACCATCAGTGATGTGGGTCTATATCCTGACTGCTTTCTGCCCAGAGATTGTAAAGCTAAGTGAGCATCAAAAAATTAAGTGAGAGAATGTGAATAAAAGAAATCATGATACCCAACCCCTGACCCTTTCTGGGAAAAGCCCTGAGGTCACCTTGATTATGCAATGTTTTCTCTGCTCTAGTCCAGCACAACATCCAGAAAATGGTGCAGATTCTCTGGCAGCAACTTGTGGCACAGAGTCGGCAGGCACTGGAAGATGCCTTCAAAATTGATCTTTCTGTGAAACCTGGAGAGAGTGAAGTGAAGATTGAAGAGGTCACCCCACTCTGGGAGGAGACAATGCTCAAATCCTGGCAGCATTACTTAGGTCTCTATCTACTTGATTCTATGGAATGGGAACTCCTGGTTCTTATGCAGTCAAATCCTCTAAGATTCCACTCAGGGCCTGGGGCCTTTCTCCACCCAAACCCTCTGTCTCATCCTTTCTATGAGGGGGATTTGCATCACTGCCGCTTCAGGTGTCTTTTCTCACATTGAACATCACGTGCATCCAGGATGACAAGAAGGCCCAAGGTGCCATCCAAGCAAGTAGATTCCAGTAATCTCTTAGAGGGAAGGGCCACAATGTGCAGAGCTCCATAAGGTTTTCAGTGGCTGGTCTTTCAGAAATAGATTTTCAGACCTTTCTTCATGTCATTCACCTTGGGCCTAAGGTTCCTTATCTTTCAAGTGATGTTTTTATCTCACATATACTAATGTACCTTACATTCTGTTAGTGTCTCAACATTTCCATCCTCATATTAGGCAATGCAGTTTCAGGGATGGAGTTTCACTGTGTTAATGAAGACTTTTTGAGCTTTGTCATTGTTATTTAAATCTTTTAGCATCACAGAATTCACAGTGATTCAAAGGGGACTTATTTCCGTGTCCACTGTGCCATGTCTAGTGTACAGAGCTTTATTTAATAGGTTTTAAAAATTAGTTACGGCAGATCTGTTCATACATGCATGTATATATACATATATGTGTAATTTAAAGTTAAAATGTCAGATTCTATTTCACAAAAAATACAATTAAGTAGGACGTATTTACCCATGTACATATAATGGAGTAAAATGATCAACTGAGCTAACAGTCATGTATACTGGACACTTTATATGTCCCAGGGTCTGTGCTTTAAAAACATCATCTTATATAACCTTCATCATAATCTAAGGTATTGTTGTTGCTAAGTGCTGTCAAGTCAATTCTGACTCATAGTGATCCTGTATAGGGTTTCCTAGGAGCAATTGGTGGACATGAACTACTGACCTTGCAGTTCAAACCACAATGGCACACCAGGACTCCACCTAAGATATTATCTAACCCATTTTACTGAATGAATACGTTGAGTCTCAGAAACTTTAGGTAACCTGTCCATTATTGTGCTGCTAGTAAACAAGCCTTAGAACCTGGGTTTTAATCAAGGTCTGGGTGACCCCCAGGCTCACACTACATTTTTTAGCACAGGGGGCTTCAGAGCCTGGCAGTGACATCTTGAACAAGTGTGTGCACTCCTTTTTCCTTCACTTCCTGATATTCTTTGCTTCCTCATCCCCCTAGCATCTGAGAAGAAAATTCTGGCGAGTCACTCTAATATCACCCATCACAGCAAAGTCACATCATGGGGTCAAAGCCTGTCTTCAGCCATGAGACTGATGCCCAGCCGACTGGCCAAGGATCCAGAATGCAAGGCAGAGGTGAGTCCAGACTTCAATTTTTGGCTTCAATCCCATGGATCATGCAATCTCTATATTATCACTGGATGCATCTAATTCCATATTCTTTTTTTTTTAATGTTTTATTGTGATTTAAGTGATTAATAAAAAAACAAAAACAAACCAGTAGCCATCAAGTTGATTTCAACTCATGGCGACCCTGCCTTGCATGTCACAGTAGAACTGTACTCTATAGTGTTCCAATGGCTGTTCTTTCAGAAATAGATGGTCATGCCTTCTGCCTGAGGTATCTCTAAGTAGACTCAAACTGCCCATATTTTGTTAGTAGCTAGGCATTTAACCATTTGTACCATTCAAGGACCCCAAAGTGATTATGGATTCCCTGTTATTGTAGGTGCACCTTATTATTGCAGGTACACCTTACGACATTAAACTAACAAACAAAATTTTTGTTCTGTCTTCTTTTGAGTCATTGTGTTCAGTGTGCACTAATTCAGTGTTCACCAGGAACTGAACATGTGAGCCCAACAAAGGGAGGCAGAAATAGTAGGACTATTTCCAGGAGATGGATTATAGATCTGGACTATTTGGCTGGTGTAGGACTGAGGTCTGAGGATTTTCTCTTCCATTCTTCTACATGTACATGAGTCACCCTAAAACTCAGTGGTACAAACAATGATTTATTATCATTATGGATTTTGTGGTCAGAAGTTTGGGTTGTCTGGGCCTCAGCTGGAAAGGATCCATGACTAGGAGCTGGGATCACTGGAACACTAATTCACTCACATGTCTGATGGTTAATATGGGCTTTAGTCTAAAGCCTTAGCTGAGGGTGTCAAATACACCCTGTACCACATGGACTCTATGTGTCCTGGCCTTCCGTATGATGTGGTGACTGGATTTTAAGAACTATTGCTCAGAGAACAAGCTCCAAATTGCCTTTTATAGCTGAGTCTCAGAAGTCATACAGAGTCACTTCCACCACGTTTCACTTGTCAATACAGACTCAAAGTTCTGCTCAGATTCAAGAGTTGGGGAACTCTACTTCCTGATGGGAAAATGGCATGGTTCTAGAAGAACGTATGGGCTGAAAGTATTGCTGTGGCTATTTGTGAAAAGTACATTCTGTCAAATGTCTAATATTGGGGTGCTATATTCAAAATCAGACTTGTCATTGAGCTGACATGGGCAATAGGGTCAGCAGACATTGAGTGGATTAATGTGCAAAGTCGTTTGAACTGCAAGGTTGGTGGTTCAAGCTCACCAGTAGCTCCTCAAAAACCCTATACAGGGTCGCTATGGGTCAGAACCAACTTGACAGCACATAACAACAACAATAACAAAATCTGAGCCATAGTAGGCTTTAGGTCATTTGAAGAAAGAGCCCAGACATTGAAGAGAAGAGAGGAAATAAGCTGGATTGAGACTGATTTCCCAATTGGTGTTCAGAATTGAGGGGAAAACCTGTGTCCTATTAAGGCTTGCCTTAATTGCAGGATATGGTGGTTGGCTCCTTAAAATCGTGTTCAGTAGGGTTTTTAACCAACTGAATGAATGAATAACTTATTTAGATTTTATAAGAGCTGTATCAAACTGTGGAAATTGACATAAAAATAAGAGAAAGATTTTTTAGAAAGTCAGAGACAGAGTCAGGGTAGGACCTCCTGTCTGAGCATGATCGCAGATGAGTCAGAGAATATTGCAGTCTCCATTCCTGTATGTATGCCTGTGACTAAGCTCTATGCACACTATCATACAGGGAGAAACAAGAGAAATGACAAGTGCCTAGAAATAAAAGACAGCTTACAAAATTCCATTTTACCTTATACAACTTCTTCTCTACCCAGGGGAAGGCCATCTCCCAGATGGTATAGCTATAGCAGAGCTCCTTAAAGTTTGGGAAACCCCACATATGCCCTCACACTTGGCCCTGAGTCATGCCATTTTCCTGACCTCTCTTCCTTTGTCTCTCCCTGGAGCTCCCAGATCGCTCTCAGGAAGTTGGGTCTGTCTGGCTAGGGAAGGGATAGCTAGGGCACTGGAAATGGACTTATGGAAACATTGGTGACCTGCTGATTCTGTACCTTTCTGGCTCCCAGCCTCTCACACCTAGCTGTCATTGACACAACTTAGTTGTCATGTCTTGGGGAGGTTATTTGAGGACCAGCTGATCTGAAAGCTCCCAAGGACACTGAAATGCTTAGGGCCATTTAGATTTACCAAATGATTGGCTCACATTGAGTCATGTAAAAGTAACCATTTTCAAGATGATTTTTTGAAGGCAGACTGCTCACTGAGATTTCATTCATTCATTCAGCAAATATTTACTGACTGTTTACTCTGTACCCTGCTCTAACTGCAGCGATTACAGTCAAGAACAAAACATATATTCTTGCTTTCTTAGAGACTTCATTCTTGAGGATGAAGATAGACAAAAAGCAGGTAAATAAACTGATGTTGTTAAGTGCTGTCGAGTCAGTTCCAACAACATAGCCACCCTGTATGTGGTTTCTGGGAGCAGCTGGTGACCTTACATTTCAAACTGACCTTGCAGTCCAGTGCACTAACCTGCAGCACTACATCAGGTGTGATAATTGCATGGGGGAAAGTTGAGCAAGGGATGCTGTTTTTATGGAGGTGGTCAGCAAAACCCTCCCTGGCAAGAGGGCATTGTAGCAGAGGAGACGGTTTGGGTAAAAGTAAATCCTATGACTTCCTGGGGGAGAGCACAGAGGCAGAAAGACTTGCTGAGCAAAGGTTTTAAGACTATGCTTGGATGTTCCAATGCAGCAGAGATGAGTGTGGCTGGACTAAAGTTCATCAAGGCACCCCAGCTTTCTGAGCAGCCATGGAGTTCTCCCCTTAGGCTTTTTTCTCAGGAAAAACTGCTTTTCCACAACTTGAATGGACAGCAGAGATTTTATAACTGATTATGTGTTCCTCTTTGACTTGGACACTAGGAAACACAGGAGCTAAGTGGGGCTTAATCGCCTAACTTCTGCACACACCTAGTAGCATTACTTTCTTTAGCACATACAGAGGACACAAGCACCTACATATACATGTGCATACACATTCACACATGTACATGCATACACAAAGACATACCACACACATGTATTCATAGACACTATGTACATACACATGTATGTATATGCACATATACACACATGTGCATGTATGCATTCACACAGGCATACAACAGACATATACACATACCACACACAGTCCCTCTTCCATCATCCTTCCCATTTGTTTCCCATTTTATCTTCAACCTGATTTCTTTGTCCATTTTGAAGCTTGTTCTAGCTTGTAGATTCTGAAGGAAAATTATTTTCTAAACAAAATGGACTATGTTATAATTTAAAAATTAACTACATCTTTGCTTACCACAACCATCTACCAGCCATTTAGCTGGATTGGACACAGAGCCTGGTGCCTACCAGATTCTTAAAGAATGTGTAATGTTCTGCACAGAACAGAGGAGGAGATACCCCCTCCTTTGGTTGAGCTGAAACTCAGCAGCCTCAGCCCACACATCCATCACTCATCTTCCTGAGATGCCTTTGTTGTGAACAGAAGGCAGAACTTCTCAGCTACATATGTATACCATGATGTCACAGGATAAGAGCATCAAATATTTGCCCTGGGGTCTGTTTAATTATTTTTAAAAATTAATTTTGATTATTACAGCTGATTACACCTCAGTGAGCAATGTAATTGATATTTTCTAATGTATCCCAAGGATCATTTTGTACAACACGCTTTTTGTTGTTGAAGGTTAAAGACTCCGTTATTGGTTTTTCCCTAAATATGTCCACATCATTAGTTCCTCTAGTGAGAAGGTTGCCATCTGGAAAAAGCAGCATGGAGACATTATTCAGGCACAAGTGCATGAAATTGGTGTTTCTATATCTTCTGTCTCTCTTCTGGAAAGAAGAGGCTTCTAATTAAAGGAGTTGGTATTGGAGGAAACATTATTCATTTGGTGTTATTTCTTATCATGTCAGTGGCTGACAGCTCTATAACACTGATAAATTGTTCTTTGGACTGAGACATATGACGGATGATTCATAATTCCTCTTACCTATCTTCATTTTCAGTAGGAAATGTTCTTTTCTTGGCAGATGAACTCAACTTTGAGATGAGGCTAATAGGATAAATGTTATTTCTTCTTCTGCCCCTATCCTCAATACCTATGCTGATATTGAATTATGAAATCACTGCCCCTAGCAGGGTAAAGCCATGTCTAGCAGTCAATTGAGCAGATGTGGGGACCTTGGGACTTCTTGAAACCATGAAAGGTCAAGTCAGGGTGCTGTGGATATCATGCCATTGTGATCATTCATACCTTGCAGAAACCCAGTGTATAAACTGTGGCCACTGGTATCTTTTCAAAGCATTGGACATGACTTTGCTCACCTGATCAAGCTGAGACTTTCTTGGATGAAAAAAAAAAAGAAAAAACTTAAAAAATATCAATCCCCAATGTTAGGTTTTTAGTTTTGACAGATGCATCATGGTGATGCAAGGCACTAACATTAGAAGAAACTGGGTGAAGGGTAGGCAGAAACTCTCTGTACTGTCTTTGCTGCTTTTCTATACATCTAAAATTATTTGTAAATACAGAGTATGTTATCTTTAAAATAAATAAATAAAGCACAGCATGAAGGAAAGAAGAGTGGTGACAATTCAAGACACTTGAAACCGATTAGTCCAGCGGATTAATAGAACAGGTAAACATCAGTCTTCATAACTTTGAGATCAGAAGAACTAGATGATGCCTGGCTACAATTACCAACTGTTCTGAAAGGGATCACATTAGAAGTTTCTGGATTGAGTGGGGGAAATGTAGCACAAAATTTAAGAATATATAAAATGCTAGTCTTACTGGTCAGAAAAAGACGGGAAGAACCCAAGACTAGAGCCCTCAGGCACCCTTTGAGTCTGGAACTGTATTCACCCTCATGGCTTAATTTTCAGCTAAGCAGTAAGTAAGTATATAGTGAGGACAACAACAC